GTGTAACGTCTCTTCTTTGACAGCCCTCTAACTGAAATGAAAATTGAAATGCTCTATATAGGCAGCAACCCCATTAGTATCATCCTCAGACGGCAGGTCTTTTCATGCATATTGCACACAAAACTGGAAAGCACTTGTGAAAATCAGATCAGACAGAACTCTGACTGCTTCACAATTTCCGGGAGTCAGGGTGAGCAGGTCAGTCTGCCAGGAAATAAAATTCTGTGAACATACTTAATATAATGAGCACTTTGGTGGGAAGAACTAGTCTCTGGATTTGTGCTTAGATTTTTGAAAGATTCTCTTTCTCTGCAACGTGTTGTTTTCTGTAGACCTGTAGAACTATTTCAATGAGTTTGTTGGTCTGTAATTGTGGCATCGTTGGTTCTATTTTTCAAACTATGTGGTTGGTTACTTTATATGTCTGTCAAGCATCTTCCTTTGTGGGCAGTTCTTGGCCACAATAAGCTACAAAATGGACCCGAATGTTATTTTAATATTATTTATACTGTTATAGTATTTATTAATATATTGATTTAGCTTTTTATATTTTCATTTCAGTTTAAGTTGAAGTATTTGTGCGCTTTTGTAATTCTTTTTTTTTTAGTCAATCCGCTTTACATGTTTTCAGTTGTAACAATTTTAGTACTTCAATTTAAATTTCAAAGCTTTTTAAGATTTTCATCTAATATTTATACTTTATTTTGTTTCAGCTTCATTTTGATTAACAAAAATACAGTTTTACTTTGTTAACAATAACATTGACCCAAAAAAATTGTGAGTCTCATCACCGCTAATATTGTTGCTAAAGTAAACAAAGTAAACAATTCGATATTCTATAAGCACAAAAAACACATACAACGCACAAATATTTGGTAAGATAATTCAATTTGTAATCACTTAGCACTTTTTTCTATCTTTTCATTGATACTTTAAATAAATTATATATACATTTGTCATTTTGTCATATTTATTGAAAATCTGCACTTACTGTAGTTTGTTGCAATGCATCAGCAAAGGATAGAATGCTGCCTTAGATGTTGCTCTTTCTTATAAGGCAGCATAATTTAGCTGCCTACTGTTTTGGAATAGCCTTCACTTCAGGAGCACATCAGTGATGCCTTCAAATGCTGTCTATGTAGGCAGCTCACTAGGGTTTGGAACAGAGCCGAAGTCATTTGAGCAGAACTCACCTGTCCCAGAGCTTCACGTTCCTGCAGTTGTTGCTGCAACATCCTGCTGATATCAAAGCTGTGAAGATAAAAAAAGACTTTTATGAAGTTTTTGTGCACAGCAGTCGGATCTGGAAGAACAAAGCCCATTCATTTTCTCTATAGGGAAATATATTTTTAATGCTAGCATGTAAATCCACAAAAGACCTTCCAAAGATTGTTAAGCAAAGATAAATTGGGTTCTGTAGAAGCCATGCTGTTACCAAGGAAAAAAATGATATCTGAATATTTTGCAATACACTGAAAATACAGTGATTTTACTCTTGTAAGCAAAATTCAGTTGAATAGTTTTACTTCTTATCTGCATTTTTGGTGCAGTTACATCATTTGTAGTTTGTCGAAAAATACTTTTATACACCTTTTTCATATTCAGTTTTCATAAGCCTACTTTTTTGCAGTGCATCAAAGGTTGTAATATCATGATTTGAGTTGGAGCTGGTTGTTTTTTCATACCCTCTTAAAAATAAAGATTCCAATGTTTTTTTGTTTTTGTTTTTTCCCAGCAATGCTATTAAAGAACCATTTGGGGTCCCAAAAGAACCTGTCAGTGAATAGTTATAAAAAATAAAATAATAAAATTTTCCTAAAGTAAAGACATTTTTAATAATCTGGGGAGCCCTTTTCCACTATAAAGAACCTTATTCATCACTGGAACGTTTCCATGGATGTTTAAGGTTCTTCATGGAACAGTAGATGCCAGAAAAGACCTTCATTTGTAGGAATGTATTAAGAAAATGAGGGACGAAAAACACTTATGGAACCAAGGCCACTGAAAAAGTGGGTGATTGCTGTTGTCCTTGAGATGAATTATAGCAGCTTATTGTCATAATACAATCCTCAACAACGGGCACAGAATGAAAAGCATTTGGATTTGGCTTTTCCACAGAGGTGTTGGTAAATTTCGTTGTGGTTTGT